CTTGGCTATTTCCTGCTTAAATGTTCAATAGGTCTCTAGTGCGGACTTCTTAATCATGCCAATTCTCCACATATCGGTTTCTGCTTTCTTCACCTTCTTCTTAACCGATAATTCTTCTTGGTTTGGCCCCCTGCTGTTTTCCAAGTATTTACCAGTCAATTTTCTGGTTCGCTTCCGCCATTTTGTTTCGACATTCTTCATGTACAAGTAGCTGAATACCTTCTTAGCCCAATGCTCCTCCGCCGTTTCTCTAAATCGCTTCTCAAATTTTATCTTTCTGCGAACTTCCCTGCCCTCAAATGATGTCCATCCCATATCACCTTGTACTCCCTGATTTGGTGTATTCCCGTGAGCTCCTAAGGCAAGCCTACCTATTTTACGTTGCTTAATTTCTAATCTTCCTTGAACTTCTGATCTCATGCACAAGACCGCCTTGCCGAACGTCAGACGAGGAACCATGACCCCTTTTCATATTCCTCTCACAACATCATACCTATTGTAATTCCACAGTGCCCTGTTTTTCATTACCGCTGCATTCCTGTTACCATTAGTCGACACGTATATTTCGTGTTCCCTTAGGTACTCGGCCCAAATGTTTATCCACACACCCAGATATTTGTATTTATCTGTTATCTCTAGCGTGACCTCCTGCATTCTAAGCTCACTACCTTCATTGTCATTAAAAATCATGACTGCTGATTTTTCCTTACTGAATCTGAAATCTAACCTATCTCCCTCATTACCGCAGATGTCCACCAATCTCTGCAAATCTTCCTTGTTGTCGGCCATTAGCACTATATCATCTGCGTACATCAATGCTGGTAGTGCCTGTTCAATGAGTTTTCCTTGTTTGACGAAAGAGAGGTTGAAGCCTTGTCCACTCCCCTCTAATTTGGCCTCTAATCCTTGTAGATACATCATAAATAACAAGGGTGACAGAAGACACCCCTGCCTAAGCACCTGTTTCACATCTGTAGGCTTAGATACCTGCTTTCCCCACTTTATAACTACCTTGTTACCTTTAGAGATCTCCTTTAAAAAATTAGTCACTACATCTTCCACGCCTAGTGTGTCCACTATTCCCCACAATTCCTCTTGAACCACGTTATCGTACTCTCCCTTGATATCCAAGAATGCTAGCCACATGGGCCTGTGTTCCTTTTCTGCCATTTCGATGCACTGCATCAGTGAGAACAGATTGCCTTCCAACCTCCTGTGTTTCCGAAACCAATTCTGCAGTTCCCCCAGCACCCTCTCATCCTCTATCCATGCCTGCAGTCTTTCCTTTATAATCTGCATCGCCAGCCTGCAGACCATTGATGTCACTGTTATAGGACGGTAGTTGTTTATGTCAGCTTTGTCCCCCTTTCCTTTATAGATCATGCTCATCCTGCTAAGTTTCCATCCATCGGGAACTTCTCCATAGATTATTATTTTGCTCACTGCCTCTTTCAAAGCCTGCTTAGACTTCGGACCTAATGTCTTTATCAGCATAATTGGAGTGCCATCTGGGCCTGTATGTACTACTAGGAACCCTTTTCTCAGCCCTTTCCCGCTTTTGTTGTGAAAATGGAGCCATTGCGCCACTTGATTCATCCTTCTCTATTGTGGTGCATAAAGCACTTTTGTGTTGAAATTTTTCTGTCACCCTTGTTCTTATATGTTCGAAAGCTTCGTATCTTTCAGCCTAGCACCTTGAGCTGTAGTTATAAACCTCTGCTCTAGGCTCGTCTCATTTCTTAGGGAGTTTAAATGGTTCCAAAATTTCGCAGCTGCCTTTCTATCTTCTTTATGTACTTCTGCCAGCCACTAGGCTCCTTTTCTTCTAATCTTTTCATTGATCAGAAGGAATGCATCCTTCTACAGCTAAGAAAGATTTCCCATTTTCTTCCAACATCATCTGTCGGTTCACCCCGCTGCTTAGCATGTCTGTGTTCCCTAGAGACTTCCTGACGTTTTGCTATGGGTCTCTTAACTTCCTCATCCCACCAACTTTTGGGTTTGTGTCTGCTTTTCCGGGGTCACCTGTCACGTGCCTTAGCAAGCTCTAGCACAAACAGTCTAATTATATTCGTGTATATTAAAGCAGTGTGGACACACTGTTTTATTATCCTCAGTGATTACTTTCTCAATTTGTTTAGTGGCTATTTCAATTTGCCTTTCTGAATAAAAATTCTCCAGTAGTAGCTCATCTTGCCTCCTTCCCACTTTCGCTGCTCTTCCAAAACTTAGCTTGATACGTTGGTGATCACTACCCAGACTTCTGGAGTGACCTTCATCTATGTGCGTTCCCTGAGCTTGTCAAACATCCTATGTGACATCAGTGCATAATCTATAGTCGACTGCAGCCTTCCTATCTCCCATGTTATTTGCCCTTCACACTTCTCGGTACTGTTGCAAATGATCAAATCCAGCCTTTCACACATATCCTCGATCATTTTGCCTGTCGGGTCAGTATACCCATCTATATCTTCTATGTGTGCATTCATATCTACTAGTATAATTATCTGGCATGCTCTTCCTAACTCCTGAATGTCCTTTGATATACACTCTACCATTGCCTGGTTTTTCTCTATGGCCTTTGCTCCCGTCCACAAGTACCTGAAATCAAGGAGTGTCATTTCCCCTGCCACTTTCCCTTTTAGCCATAAATGTTTCTTGCACTCCTGCTTGACCCTTTGCCAGTCTCTACTTTTATGAATGAATGCCTTAATACCACCTCCCCTTTCTGCTGCCTTCTTTTCTATTACAATATTCCCACGCGTAGTCCACATTGTTAGGAGGTTGTTCCATGTCCCTGAGAAGTGTTTCTACAAAACCGTATACCATCAGCCTCTCCTCCCTTAGGTGTTCTTCTATCTCTTCCCACTTCAGCCTGTTCCTATCACCCTGAATGTTAATATACCCTATGTCTGAATTGGCTCGGCGCTCGTGGCTATGTTTATTTCTGCCGCGGACTCTACCTGTCTTAGATACTGGTGCCACTTTAGAATCGTATCTGTCCATACCACCTGTCAAAGAGTCTCCCTGGTTTTTTTCTTCGTTACTACCTATCCTGCGCCCCGAAGGGCCCGCTTGCCCCCCAAAAAAGCTACTGCGCGTCCTGCAAGTCGCCAACCCAACTCATGACCTAGCCGCCCATCGAAGTGAATTCTGTCTCGTTGAAAACCACCCCACCTATGCACCTCTCTGTTTATTTCTACCACCTCAAAGCCTTTTTCTCGACTCATCCGCCATATCTCTCGGTTTGCGTTGACCAGCGCGCTTTGCATGTTGCTATCACGCACTGGTACCTCCGGTATTGTGCACATCGCTATCTGTACCTCAAGAGATGTGGCGTGCATGTAATCGACACCTTTCGCCAGTGTAGTTGCTAATCCTGCTGTATCTTCATTTAAGACATCGTTTAAACCACATGAAATTATCACGAGGTTTCGTCTATCAGCTGTTGTTTTGAGTTTTGTGCTCGCTTGCCTCATGACTGCTTCCAGCAGCGTCCTGGGAATGCCCCTGCTGCAACCCTCTTGTCACCTCTTGCTCTCTCTTTGATGGCTTCTGTGCATCGATTTAAATTCGAGTCCCCGGCGATTATCACATGCTGTGACTTTTCAGCTGGAGCGTCCTGCACCGGGGGGTTACCTGCACCTGTGACGCCGGCTGCTTTGTCCCCTCTCAGCCCCACCACTACTTCGCTGAAGCTGGGCCTTGCGACAAATGAACCGGCTTAACCTGTTTTTTCCTAATTTGCTTGCTCTTTCTTCTCCGCAGTTCTGGTTGCCGGTTCCCTACTCTTCTATTCGTAGGCCGCCTCTCTGTTTACCTTGGCTAGTACTTCCTCGGCGGACTTCAGCTTTCCTCCCATAGCACTCGTTTTCTCTTGCTCGTTCGCGAACGCAGTCTCGAGCTCCGTGATTCTCATCAACATGTCACTCTGGGTAACCAACATTTTCTCCATTTTTTTCCTCGACCTCACATTGCCTACACTTCACGTCAGCCTCTTCTCCTTCCGCTTCTACACTTGGGTCCACTTTAAAACCGACCTCACATCCTGAACACTTCACAGTTTTTTAACCATGTCTTTACGACACCAATTGTTCTATGACTTGTCTCACTCAATAATTGCAAATCTTGAGCCCTGCCCTACGAAAAAGAGAAAGTCTAAGCTCCACTACAAAAAATCGAGTGTTCAGTGTACGTGCACCTCCACCACGGCGTGGCAAAAGAAAAAGAAAAACAACAAAAAACTAAAAAAATAAACACCCACACACAAACTAATACCTGTGGCTGACTCCCGAAAAAGCCGTACAATAAAATAAGTGCTACAGGAATTTTAACTGCTGCCCTATAATTATAAAGACAAGCTGAAAACATGCAAAACAACTCATCTGCACAGTCGAGCGGGAGCGCCCAAAAACACGTCCATCCACCGTGACAGTCCGAACCGAACTTTCACACCAGCAGCACGCTGCAGGGGATGTCGTCAGCTCTAGAAAAGCAAATTCCTCTGCGCGTTTCGCCCATGACGCTTTAGAACTCAGAAGAGCAGCACAATTTCAGGTTGCGTAAAGGAACCGTAAGCCATCAAAGACGAGTAGAAAGTAGGGATGGTAAGACCTCGGAATGATAATGTGTCTTGAAGAACATTTCGTCGTCGGAGATACCCAGCTTTCATTTAGTCGACTTAACTCGTTCAACCTATCCCGTAAATGAATATACAGATCTTGACAGGAGTGACGCGAAAAAACTAACAATAGAGTAAAGCGCTCTTCTCCAGCAGTGCGATCTGCGGCAATTGTGTTGAACGAAAGCCTAGGTTGCAAACTTTTTGCATTTAGATGAACTAACGGTTGCTGATATTTTACATCCGACGTTCTAAAAATGCTGAATTCCCTAACCGATTTGTGCTTGGACGTTCACCAATTTACGTGACAGTTTTCATGTTTTCCGTGCTACACATGACGTACTGTGATGCGATGTTGTCAGTGGTCCTTGTTTTGCAGGTCGCTATCTCGTCGGCTGCGTCAACTAGTCGAACAGGAATTGCCAATACAGCTTATGAAGACAGTGACGACGTCCACGAAATGCGTGATGTTTCACTGCACAACTTTCGCAAACAACGACAGCACAGATCAGCGCCAACTAGGTGCGTATATGTTCGCAATCTCGGCGTAATGGCTGCGGGCAATCTTGCAGAGGACGGAAATAGGAGGAGTTTGATACACACAACACGATTTTGAAGCGCCTCTTTTTTTGGTTCCACCCAACCCGTTCTCTTTTTACCACATTTTGTATTTGTTAAACAAAATGCTATACCAGCTAGCAGACCTACAACATTGCCAGTGAAATGAGCGCTTCAAAAACGGGCATTTAACACAACTTTCTAGACTTTGGTAAATCCACGAAAGATTCGAAGCGGGCTTATCTTCTGCAAGTGTCCTTGTAGCGCATGTAGAAAACAAAACTATTACTTAACGGAAAAATTTCCCGTAAGTCATAACCTTTACTGTGGCTCGTTGGCTGGTATTAAAAGACAAGAAAGGAGGAGGAATTTCCAAGTGATGTGTGCTGACACGTGTAAATTTTTGTGCTTCTGCTGTCGAGACAAATTGTGTGCTGCGTCGAAGATACCTGCACCTTAGACATTTATTGGATACCCTTTTAGAAACTTGTATTGATATCTTAGTACGTATTTCAATATTGGTGTCAGTAATTCTACTCCGGATAATATAAAGAATATATCATGTATCTTTAGATATAAGATACAACGACACCCTCACCATGGCGAAAAAAATAATATTGGCATCAGCGGATGTCGTCAGCTCCAGAAAAGCGAGTTCCTCCGCGCATTTGGCCCATGTCGCCTTACAACTTAGAAGATCCATCAGATTGATGAGGTATTCAATGCACGAGAGCTCCGCTGCTTAAGCTGTTGCTGCGTTATTATACAACCTGAATAAAATGAAATAATGCGTTATTTTTGTATTCTATTCTTCTACCCGAGTCACTCAGTAAGGAAAGGCGACTAGGCTTGGGCATACCTCAGTCGAGGCGAGTTACGTGCTGGTGCTCACTGAATCTCGAAAGGCGCTCGAACGTCTACGTATAGAGCTGAGCTTTTGTTATGAAACTTTCTGTACTTTTTAGCTACATCAGTGCAGCGACACCTCTTCTTAGCTACCGTCCTCTGCCATGCATACTCCAGTGCGTATGATGTTAACAGTGAAAATGCTCATGCCTCCATAGTGAGGTTATCAAAGTTTCTCTCGTGAGGTGCTTCGTTACGAAGTCTGAATCTAAAGTCACAGAAAAAAGCATACTTACGCAAGGAGCGGACCCTCCCGTCGGGGCCTGCGGCCGCACTACTGCTCAGCTTTCAGCACCACGAGCGGCTGGTTACACTGATGTCTTTGTCATAATTAACTGAAAAAAGCAAATTTTTCTTTCCGACGCAGCAATTTGAACCCATGCCCTCATGTTCCGAAAGCGAGTATCTTTACCATTGGCTGCACAACCAAGCTTCCACAAAGGAATTACATGTACATCAAAACCGCATGAATGTGTACCCCCTGGTGGTGCCGCTAAACGTGCCGAGTAGAACACTATTTGGAGCTGGCATTCACGATTACAAAAGTCAGTGACATTTTTTATTGAAAAAAAATTAATGCCCAATTTGGGCCTTTGTGGTCCTCGTGAGGTGGCTATTACATGCATGTGTCGACTAACGAGTCAAATAGAGCATGGGTACGCCATGTAGCGGTTGTTACGACCCTTCCTTTACCAGCCCCGAAAAGGCTCGAGGGAACACTCTTTACTGAAGTATATTTCTCTATTATAAAGTGGTTGCTTGGACATGTTGATATAATATATTGAAAAAAAAGCGCGAAAACGAGATACTAGACATAAAACGACACGTACAGAGTGGTGACTTACAGCAAAACTGCATTCTTCAAACCACGCATATAAACCTATGCAGTGGAACAAAAAAAAAGAAGAAACAAAAGCGATAGTCGAAGATAAATAAATATGAGCATAAAAACTATTCTCTTTGACCGTGCAATCAGCCTGATAAAAACACAACCTCCTTTTCTGAGAGGCCAACTAAATGCCTCTGAGGGTGACCCAAGGCAACTGAAGATGACGCATCGTGAGCAGGCCATCACTTTGATCAGGTTGATTCAATGCACTAGGAACAAGGTTTTTAGGATGTTTACATTTTATTCATCTTCTAGTGTCACTTTTGTTTTTTTTTTTGTTCCCCTACAAAGGAATACATGTGTGGTTTAAATAATAAGCTTTTGTTTTATATAACTGCCTCGTAAGTGTCCTTGTTTGTCTGGTTTCTAACTTTTCGCGCAGTTTTCTTGTAAGAAATCTGGAGAATGTAGAGACGGTGTTGCGTTGCATCTCGCAGTTTTCACGGGCCTGTAATTCGAAGGATCTTGTGTATTTAGACTCGAAATACATGCTATCAGAGTGACTTGATACGCAAATAAGGCAAGAGCACCACAGGAAGCAATTCAAAATCTATTGCAACAAACGTTTGCCTAATAGAAGATATCTTGGCGGGCCGTATGTTTTTACTGCTGCCAATTTTATTCAAAAATAATTACCTTATTTTGCCCTGCAACCTATAGACCAATCACTTTTCTAAGCATAATCAATATATTTCTCGAATAATCATTTCTAGACCAATAAATATGTTCCTCGAGAAGTACAACTCGTTCAGCAACAATCCACTGGGCTTTAGACTTCGCTTCTCAACAGCATCTGCAGCCATCACGTTAACGCAAAGGATGATGTCACAAATCCTGTTAATGTGGAGGAATCTCCGGGCAGATTCCAAGGGCTGACGTGTTTGCCCTCTGAAATTCACAACGAAAGCACGAACCATTTGTAATAAGTCATTTTATGCGCTAGCAAACGTTGGTTTTTGTTCAAAGACCGAGCCAAGATTTATTAACATAAACAAAGCATATTAATCATTGAGACCGTGAAAGCATCACACAAACATGCACACTGCGCTAGTATCAAATACAATAGGTGTCACATCAATCGAACAGGGGAAAAATTGAATCTCATACGCCCGAAACAGTATACTCCAGAACATCCCAAAACAATGCAAGTCATTTCATATCCTCCAGCTTGACGAGTTCTTTCCTCGTATACAGTAGCACTTCGCAAGTCGCGGGTTTGTATCCCGGCTGCGGCGGCTGCATTTCCGATGGAGGCGGAAATGTTGTAGGCCCGTGTGCTCAGTTTTGGGTGCACGTTAAAGAACCCCAGGTGGTCTAAATTCCCGAAGCCCTCCACTACGGCGTCTCTCATAATCATATGGTGGTTTTGGGACGTTAAACCCCATATCAATCAATCGTATACAGTAGCACTGACGAATAGTTCCTTTTGTAGATAGTGATCACATGTCTTCTCGTCAATACTCTTCGAAACTTATCACTGCCTCAAGGGTGTCACTTTCCGATACCTACAACTGCCCTATTACACGGTTAAAAGACTTGGCAGATCCCACATTCAGTGGGAATAGACCCTTTACGAAGCAACAATTAGGGAGCTCGAAATGCATTTTGAAATGAGCACAACGTTAAGAGCCGGACGTTAATTATGGCGTACATGACTTCCATGTTGTGTTTGTCATGTTTGCGCCTGACATTTGTGTTCGTCATCCATTCATGTCACGTAATACCAAATTAAGTATATGTGAAGCTAGCGAAACTGCTGTGAGCATGCTATGAGCGTATCATGCAGTCATGTTTTACATGACACGCATAACACGATTATTATGTTTGGACGTGTTGATTACCTTCATCGTCTAGTCACGTCACGTAATACCGAATTTGGTATATATTGAGATAGCACAACAATTTGGTATATGTTGAGGACCACAAGCACGCCATGAGCGCAGCATGTCATCGTGCTTTATATGGCACGCATATTGTCACGCGCGTTTCTTCTTTACACCTAAAGCCGTTTGCAGCTACGAAACTAAAACGTGACGCTCTTCGCAGGAGAGATGACCAAACTCTTCCACCACGCCATACCCTAGATGTCTGAAGACAGAAACGTTTGCTTCCTCATGCGAGGAGTAATGCAGAAGCTGTTTGTTAGTCTGAAACGTCGACGAATGAAAATACACTGTAGATGCGCACCCGAAAAATCAATCGCCGCTCGACACCAGAGTACGCAGAAGTTCAACCACTCTGCTCCAACTACCTCCCTGAGACTATTCGAGTGATCGTGCGGAAGGAGCTGCGCAAGCTGTTACTTTCGGTGCAGCCTCAAGTGGACTTGATTGCTCACTTTGCCCTCGAATAAGTTCGGCAATCGTTTGGGATTTCCGAAGCACCACAGTCCTCAGCTGTAAGCGATGAGCTACACTGCTGCAGCCTGACGCTACGCTCCGCCTTTACGCCCACGCCAAGAGGCCGTACGTCGCAGTTCCGCCACCAGCCACCACCGCCGTTGACGCCACACCATCCACGCGCTGGCCAGCGCAATGCTCCAAGAAAAACCAACGTGTGGCGTGCTACAACCACCGACCGCTCCTCTACCACTGCGGATAAGCCGGCCCCACCTACCACCTTTACCAGTACCATCAGATGGAACTACGCGTGGTTTCGCCATAGACGCACGGCATCCATAGCGGAGTCAAGGACCACGCGACATCGCCGACTACCTCACACCTGCGCAGTGGACGCCCCGAGGATCTTTCTGTTCGTCATCACCAGGCCTCTACATGTCACCTCAACGCCGGCCCTACACTGGCCTAACCCGGGGCCGGTCACCTATCCAGTACTCGAAAAACTAAGGGCTGTAGCTGATGGAGGCGCAGCTGCTGTACGACGAACTGCTGAAGATTTTCCGCCGCCTACGACGCTGCCGCGAGGAAACCCCAAGATGTCGCCACAACATCAACGTAGTTCCGACGTCAAAAATTTGCAGCCAGAATACGACTTGATGAGGCGACGTCGAAGCAGCAGTACAAACCGCCACAGGCATGATCCAATGCCACGACCTACTGCAGCGCGAGGTCAATTGTTGTTATATAGCGAGAACAGAACGACGACAAAAAGACAAGAAAATGTACGGCTCTCGCGCTATAACTATCGTCATATCATACAAACTAGCCCA